GGGTTACACCATGTAAACCCTAATGTGTCATGACTCTTCATTTCCATGACCCATGGGTTTGTAACTCCCATGGAGCATCCTATGGGTGGAACCCAACTTGATAATCCATGGAGCCTCTTAGCCCACTATATAAGATATGGAAGATTTACATAATCTACCCATATATTTAATTAGTTATCTTTTGATCACTTAATTAATTCTAAATTAATTCTTGATCAAACTAATTAAATAATATTATTAATATATTAGAACTTATAATATATTAATAAACCATAAGTGTTATTTCTCTCATTTTAGTTTATCCAATTGCATGGTGCCATGCAACCCAAATGGACCATGCCGGGTCGGGTCAAGTACATACCAGAAATAGTTATGGACTTATACACCTTATCCAACATCTTAGCCTTGGCTACTCCAGCAATAGGATCAGGGCTGGTCATGTGGATGTTTTCTTCCTTTGTATGACTGGGCGGTTTAGTTGCCATGTGGTGTGCCCCCTCCAGCAGTTTCGGAGAACTTTCATCGAGGGGCACTGGTGGAACTCTTGGAACCCTCTAGCAAGAAACTCAGATTATGTTTTTTGCGAAGAGGGGCCTCGACGCTAACCGTCTCAACATGACCACCGGAAAGAGGCTTCCAAGAAAGCAAAGCGCCTATTGACACCGTGGAGGCTCCTTGGGGACCGGAAGGGGAAGGATCCTTCTGAGAAGCGCCAGTAACAACAACGTCCTGAATATCTGGATCCTCGTCGGCGCCAGTAGCACCTTTTGAGCCGACGGTAGCCCATATTCCTTGACCAGAAACAAGGGGTGGAAGAGTCTCTACAAGGTCGACCTCGCGACACTGAAGTTCACCATCGAATAGACCTTAAAGAGCTTTCTCTAAGGATATAACCTCCTCAACACCTGGCAACAGAGCAAAGACAACAACGGTTAATAAAGTTTCCCATTTTCAAGGGTTAAACCAAGTAAAAAAAGGGGGGAGGACAAGAGAAAACAGAAGAAGAAGCATTATACCTCCTTTCTCGACGAAAAACTCAGGCATTTTCCCTCAAGCCCTCCAAGCAGCAATCATCCCACCGGCGGCCAAAAAGCAGTCGATCCAGTCCTCGCCGTTGATGTTGATCTTCTCCAGGGCATCAGCCAATTCTTTGTCAGCACCAAAGAGCGTTGGAGCACGGTCCACATACACCTTAGTCCTTGGGTACCTAAGCACCACAAGGTCGTTATTCACCCATAGAAACTTCTCCTGTTAGTTCTTCTTGGACTTTTTTGTCGTGGATGAGGGTAGGGACTCCCTGCCGATGAGAAAGGGTCCGAGTCCTAGACTGGGTAGAAGCGTTGAAGAAATACTTGAATGTCGGAACAGTTGGCTGACGCCCTAGGGCACAACAGAGGAGTTCAAAACCCACTATCTTGTTTATAGCAATTGGGGTCAGCTCTCTCACAGAAAACCCATATTCCCGGATAATCAGATTGAAGAAGTCTGTAGTATGCAAACGCGGACCCATTTCGAATAAGGCAATCGAAATGTCGACTTTGCCCTCGGGAGGACTGTAAAGCGATGCATCAGGAAGGGGGATTTGCACTCCGTGTTCGGGGACAAACCCCAATCAGAACTGAAAAGATTCCTATTCCTCGACAGTAAGATCTCTTCCCATAGGACCAACGACGGCCATGGAAGAATGCAAAGAAAAGGTAAAAAGGATTCTTTGGGGCAAGAAGGAAAAGAGAGAAAGGCAGAAAGTAAGGAGGGAACGCCAGGAGGAACAAAGGTCTAAATGCCACTAAAGGGGCAGCGAACCGTTTTCATAATGAAACCGCCTAAGAACGGCGATTTCGCTCTGACAACCGCATTATCTATCAGTAGCATCCCGCCACGTGTCTGTGAGTAGACCAAAACGAATATGCTATGTCATTAATGCAGAAGCCTACTGGTCTAAGGGACTAGTTAACGTTACCTTGTACGACCACTATAAATTTAACGGAAAGCATAAACGAAACGTTATCACGCCAGAACCTTGGCTAAGACCCCGTCTTGGCCTAAGTGATCCAGCACCGGGGTGACAGTTCGCTTCCCTTCACGAGGAAAGAATATTCCACGTGATCTTCTCATTCACTCACGACCAATCAGGACGTGAAAAAAAGCTTAGGTGACGCCCAGAACTGACGTCACCTGGCAGTTAGATAGCATAGGCATAATTCTCCCAGTAAGAGGAGGCCACGTCGCACACTCATTGGGCAGGGTCCCCACGATCCGTTAGTAACAGGTATAAAAGGATCTCTTATGTCTCAAGGAAGGGATCCATCTTCTTCCTCACACAATTTACCATAAAATATCTCTAAGAAAGCTAACTTGATCGTCGGAGTGTCGTCTTGGGAGAACACCCGGTCGTCCTTTAACGATTCTTCTGTGTTGTGTTCTCAGGAAAACTTTGAGGTCTGATTCATCATCCATCATCCCATCCCGTGAAGAGCATGTCACAACAATAATATTAGAGAAATGTATAAATTTGTGAAAGGCTTCTGATTTGTTTTTGAGTGGGTAGACCCAAAGAGAGTGAGAGTAATGATGAAGGAATAAAATATAATATTGCAAACCACCAAAACTAGAAATAGGAGATGTCCACAAGTCTGAATGAATAATTTCAAAAGGTGAAGCAACAACAAAATCAGAAAGATAGAAAGGAAGTATAGTGTGTTTGCCAAGTGGACAAGCTTGACAAAGAACATTATTTTTTTTAGAAGTACTAGAAATTGAACAACAAGAAAGTAATTGTTTCAAGACTTGATCGTCAGGGTGACCGAGTCGTTGATGCCAAGTGGTGGATGTGCTGGAGACGAATGCATGACTTGTGGAACCGGTGACTGGGTAGAGACAAATGCAAGATTCTGCCATTATGGATCACTTGGAGGTTGGTTAGGTGCATCGTGGGTACTGTCAATGTGATCGAGGACCTCGAAGGCAGTGCAATGGGCTGTGAAAAGGTCTCGCCATGGGTCATAGTTGTGAGTGGTTTGATCAAGGATGAGAGGGACATATGTTTTGATGTTGTTGACAGCATATGCCTTGGCAGGAGGAATAGTAGGCGTGTGATGATCATCGCTAGCCATTAGGGTTTGCGTAGGGAAGAAGATGATAGAAAGGAAAGGATTGATTTAAAGAAGGAAAGACAGAGATTTTAGGAGGGTGAAGAATAAGTCTCTGATACCATGTTAAGGTAAAGATTCTTGTTGCCTCCAACATTTACAATACACGAATACATATACACAAAATACACGGGGCATGGGCCTAATACAATACATGAGAACATGGGCTATACAAACTAATATACATGAATACACCAACATTCATGATCAAATCTACCTCTTCTTTGTTGATGCTCACCAACCTCATGGTCTAAATAGAAATTCAAAATGATTAAAACAATTTTGTAAATGTTAAAAATAAACATTTGTGCAAGTCTCATATTTTAAAATTTTATGAATCACAAATATGATATTTAGAAATTCGGATGGACAATATGATATTTTGATGATTAAGGACATATATGAAATTCTTCCAAAAAAACTATTTATTAAATTTAAAAACATTGCAAGCACTTCCAACTTTCTCTTCTCTATCCTCATTTGACAATACTTCAAACATCGATTTGAGATATATTGGGGTTTCTAATATGCAAACTACTTACAAGTTTGTTTCTTTTCTTTAGATTTGGTGTCAACAACTAAAGTGCTATTTGTTTTTTTTTTAAAACCACTTCTCACCACTTATTGCTACGCCGCACAGCACACACGCATCACTTGGCCCTAATAGTTGTTTGTTTTTCAGAAGACTTCTGACTTAAAAACCGTTGTGCGTGTGTAGCGTGGCACAACACTTGATCCTCTGCTTCAAACCCCTTCACACCTTACTTTAATTTATTGCAACAGTCTGCAGAGGTTAAAAAACAAAAACTTTTTATTACATGTTGCAGCCATTTGATCCCCCTCTTCTGCTACAGAGGGTTGCAAAGGTGGACCACAGACTTCAAACATTTTCGCTTCGAAAAAACAAGCGGCACCTAAGTGAACAAATATATTGCATTTTCTTATATAAAGTTTGTGTAAGAATGAAGAATTAAAAGTCAAGTGGGGCCATACACCCAGGTCCGGTCCATAAGGATGGGCAAGTTGGGCCACCGCCTATGGCCAACATGATGGTTGGGGCCTAATTTCTTCTCGGAACTCTAAAATTTTTTATTTTACTGATTTGAGCCTCACATTTGGTCATGAGGTTTTTGATAAAAAGAATATTTGGCGGTTATCCTAGACAAAATACATAAAAGCAAATTGTATTGAATTAAAAAACCCAACTAGATCACATCGTAACACAATAAATAAAAACAAATCAATGTTACTTTTGTAAGAAGGATCTATATCTAATTTTTATTGTAGTAAGCTCAACCTTGAAATCTGAATTTTCTCTTTTCATGAAGCAGTGATCATGTTTAGTCACATCAAGTCTATCTACCAAACCTTACCAAAAAGGACTAGATCCACAAAAAAATGCTACAGCTTACTAGTATTTTATTTGAATTTGTCTAATAAAAACTTATTTTTGTAAGTTTTGTTTTTTTGAACCGGCAAATACAAATATTATAATCTACTCCTAAACTAACACCTAATTCCACTTATGTCCACCACGAGACTTGAACCATCGACCTCAAGTAGGGAGGGCACCACCTGATACCGCTGGGCTAGAAGCCCTTTTGGTTTGTAAGTCTTTGTCAATGATAAAATCGTACATCTTTTTTTACAATTAAACTTTGCCAAAACCCAAACGACGCTTCTTTGGAAATGATTACACAAAACTCTTGTATTAAATTCTTTTTACAATAAGAATTAGGGTTTTCGATAACCCAAACAAGGTTTCTTTTGGAAAAATAAATCTGTAAAATCATCGTGTTGAAATGTCGTCGACCACCGGGAAAAATAAATCTGTAAAATCATCGTGTTGAAATGTCATCGACCACGGCCCCAGAGCCGTTTTCCGCAATGAATGAATCTGTAAATTGGCTGGAAATGCGTGAGGAACTGATGACAAATATCCTTCAAAGATTGGATACTAAGGAACTACTCACGAGCATACTGAAAGTATGTACAACTTGGCGGATAATTTGCAAGGATCCGACGATGTGGAAGATCATCCGTATGAACAAATTATTTGATCATCGTGATAAAAATTACGTTCTCGAGATTATGACTAAGCAGGCAGTTGATCTCAGCTGTGGGGAATTGATAGATCATAGATACCAGTGTCGAGTACTTTGGCACCAATCATCTCCTTAATTACATTGCCTTACGGTAGGTTTTTTCCCTTCCCAGGTATACCGTTTCATATACTTATGCTGCATACATAGACACTAAATTTATCAATTAATCAATGTTAGTACAGTTGTTAAATCGTTATGCTGATGCTTTTGAAATGAATTTTGGTGTTCCTATAAGAATTTTTAGATAATAACTTTAATATTAGTATTTAAGTATATGGATTTCTCACAGTTCTTCCGTAAAACCTAATCCAAAATCAATACGGAAGATACAGTGCCCTATATATGGTGTGCCTGTGGAATGTATTGTGTGTTATTGTTTTAATACCTGTTTTGTAATTGAGAAATCAAATATAGTGTTACCTACATTTTATTCTTACTCATTTTGTAATTTATAATTAAATTATTTTTTATAATATGATAATTAATATTAGTGACTAAAAATGGTGGTTACTATATTTAAATAGTGACCAAAAATAGTGGTCACTGTATTTATGGTTTATTGACCAAAGAAAATGGTCACTGCATTGAAAACTTACCAACTTACTAACTAATATGTCACATAGAAACATTGCGATGACATATAGGCTATGTTTGGCGTACTAGCTGAAAAGCTAGCTATTACCTGAAAAGCTAGCTATTAGCTGAAAAGCTAGCTGATAGCTGAAAACCTAGTTGTTAAATAAAAAGCTAACTGATAGCTGAAAAGCTAGCTGATAAAAAATAACGTTTGGTAAAACTAGCTGAAAAGCTAGCTGAAATATATAAAATTACATAAAAGGACATATAAGAGTATGTGTTTCTATAATTAATTAAGGGGTGTATGGAAAATTTTAAAAAAGATCCTAAAAAGCTAGTCTAAGTAGCTTTTCAAAAAGCTAGCTAATAAGCTACTTTTTGGCTTACCAAACACGACAACATAAAAAAGCTCGAAAAATAAGCTAGCTTATCGTGAGATAGCATCTAAAAATTGGAAATATATAGTAGGACCACATTGACATTAAAGTTTAAAGAGAGTGGTCAAAACTTCAAAAGATAAAACGTTTTGGGCCGGTTGTGCAGCAATCAAAAAGTTATAACCTAACGAGTGGAAACCCTTCGCTGCCTGCGGTTCACTTTCTCCGACACAGTAATAATGGCGGACGTTGTGCAAGCTCGAGGCATGTTCAATGAGTTCGACGACCTTGAGCGCCATGGCTTGTTCTCTTGCCGTGAAATTTCCAACATGGTCAAACAACGTCAGAAGTTCGAATATAGAGTAAACGTTCAAGTCCCCTGAAACATCGACTACGAAAAATTTCTAGATTAGCTCCTTCTCCTCCGTAATACAGGGATGAACCGTAGGGATCTTCAACAAATTTGAACATGTATGAACATCTCTTACTCCATTTCTGTGAAGCTCTAACACATCAAACGTCCTTTATTTGGAAAACTCCTCCTGATTTGAATTTGTGAAATTGAGAGTTTTAAATATTCTTCATCCTTTTCTTGTTCTTGTATGTGGCGTTTCTTTCCATTTTCGGTTTTGGTATTCATCTACTGCCTTCGACCTATCTTTTCAGTATCTAAGGACACAGTTCATCTTCTCCCCCATTCAATAGCATGTGCACAACAGCTATTCGATGAAATGCTTACATGAACTGGGAGTGCATTTTGATTTTTGAGTATATCTATCTCCCTCTTTTCATAATCGGTGAGCTCTCTCTCTCTCTCTCTCTCTCTCTCTCTCTCTCTCTCTCTCCAATTTGCTTTACTCAGTCCAGGTGTAACAAACTCAGCCTAATTGTGCATTAGTTAAGTTTCTCACCATATTATAGATATAATTCATTGGGTAAAAGAAATTGCTAATTACTGATTCTGGGAATATGGGCATCTTATTCACATTTGTAGTTCTATGTGAAAAAGTAGTTTGCATGTTCACACCTCAAATGAACTATTAAAATCAACAAAATTTTGAATAGGTATGTGATCCATTGGAATTGGATCATATTTTTGATAAACTGATTGTGCATGATTAGGGCGACATTGGTCCCGGATTCAACAGATGATTTGTATGTGTGCTTGACATAATTATTTTAGTCACTTTGAAAATAACAAATACGTCTCATCACTTTCATCAAGGCTATTTTAAGTCTTTTTTTACATCTTCTAACTCCTCTCTTTTTTATTACTATGTATCGAAGGAAACCTCTTTCACTATGCCTCTTTGCAATTCCAAAGGGGAGAAAGCGAAAGTGTTGTTTGTTTACAATGTTCCTTCATTACTATGTCTTTCTTGTGTTTCTTTATTTTTATTTCATCTCATGATTTTAAATCTGAGTCACTACCATATGTAATAATAATACTAACAATTTATGTTCATTGCCTTAGTGATAAAGCTGTTGGAAAAAGGTAGAGGTGTTCGTTCTCAATGGTGGAGTAATTGGAGTGCTGGAATTAGGGGTGAGCATTTGGACCGATGGACCAGACCGGACCGGTTTTTTGGACCCCCGGGCCGGTTCTCGGTTCTAAGATTTCATCAAAACCGGTCCGGTTTTTTTCCCGGTTCGGTCCGGTTTTTACCGGGTTTAGAACCGATTGGACACGCTTAAAAAAAATTCAATTTAGTAGGCTTTGCTTTGAGTCTTCGACGGTCCCTTTCCCATAACTACGTAAGACGCAAAGAAAGATCACTTCGATTCGATCATCAAAATCCTAGCTCGGACGTAAGTACGTAACCCTTCTCCAAGTCTCAATCTTAATCTCGCAAGTGGAAAGTCTCGATTTTACAGGTTTTGTTCCTTCCCAGTTCTCTCAAGTCTCAACGATCGCTTCTCCCTCTCTCAAGTGAAAATCGATTTCTATGAAACTCAACTACTCAAGTGTCGATTTAGAAGTAATGGAATCAAAAATCCGGAATGCTAATTGGATTGGAGATGATGAAGATGAAACTCAAGGAAGGGTTACGATTTTTGGTTCTTTTTTGTTAATTTTTGTTGAATTAACAAAGAATGTTGTTATATTTAGTTGAATTCTTGTCAAAAAAAAAATTTATTGTTATTATATGTAAACTAGGGTTATGATTTTTGTTGATTTTTGTTAATATTTGTTGAATGTCATATAGTATGTTGTTATATTTAAGTTATTTGTTGTCAAAAAGTTATTTTTTGTGATTGTATGTAAACCAGGGTTATGATTTTTGGTTGAATTTTGTTAATTTTTGTTGAAAGTTATAAAGTATGTTGCTATATTTTGGTGATTAATTGTGAAAAAGTTGTTGTTGTGACTATATGTAAACTAGGGTTACGATTTTTTTTGTTGATTTTTGTTAATTTTTTGTTGAATATCATATAGTATGTTGTTATATTTAGGTTATTTTTTGTCAAAAAGTTTTTTTTGCGCTTGTATGTAAACTAGAGTTATGACTTTTGGTTCAATTTTGTTAATTTTTTTTTAAAGTTATAAAGTATGTTGTTATATTTTTGTTGACTAATTGTGAAAAAGTTGTTGTTGTGACTATATGTAAACTAGGGTTACGAATTTTTGTTGATTTTTGTTAATTTTTGTTGAATGTCTTGAAGTATGTTGTTATATTTAGGTTATTTGTTGTCAAAAAGTTTTTTTATTATTGTATGTAAACTATGGTTATGATTTTTGGTTGAATTTTGTTAATTTTTTTTGAAAGTTATAAAATATGTTACTATATTTTGTTGATTAATTGTGAAAATATTTTTGTTGTGACTATATGTAAACTAGGTTACGAACGTTGATGAAGAGGAATTTATTGAGAATACACCACAAATTAATTTAGTTGACGATTGGGCAATAGATGCTCAATCAAATTTTAACAAACGAAAAAAAACAAATGGGAAAACGAAAACAAGTCGCAAAAAAAAAAAAAAAACAAGTGGCAAAGAAACATCCTCTTGTTGGGACACATTTTATAAAGTTATGATAGAAGAGGATGATGGTGTCAAAAGAAGATATGGAAAATGTCATTAGTGTGAAAGACTACTAAAGGCGGATGTGGAAAGAAACGGGACTTCTAGTTTACTCAAACACGTAGGTAGGTGTCAAAAAAACCCGGATAAGCTATAAGATCAAACTCAAACCAAATTGAATCTAAAGAAGGAGTCAAATGGGGAGACTAGTGTTAAAACATGGAAACACGACGACGCTAGGATCAAAAAATCAATACTTAATCTTTTTGTGGTAGGCGAAGTACCTTTCAAGTTCGTTGAAAACGAGGTTTTTGTGGAATACACCAACGCACTTAATGCTAAGGTCGTGTTGCCATCTAGACATACGATATCTCAGAATGTTTCCAAGTTTTACATAGAAGAAAGAACCAAAATGCTTCAATTTTTAAGTAACCCAAATATCGCTATACATTTGACAACGGACACTTGGACATCTTCTTGTCAAAGGACTACTTACATGGTGGTAACGGCTCACTTCATAGATGAGAATTGGATCATGCACAAGAGAATTATAAACTTTAGGGAGATAGATAGCCATAAGGGAGAGGATATGGGCCGAGCATTACTCGATTGTATTCATGGATGCGGAATGAAAAATGTCATGACCATTACCTTGGACAACGCCGCTACAAACGACAAGGCAATTGACTTTTTGGTCAAAAAGTTGCCCAATCTTTATGATGGTGGAAAGCATTTCCAAGTTAGGTGTATGTCGCACATTTTAAACCTTATCATAAAGGATGGACTAAAATACCAAAACTATCATGTTGAGTGTATCCAAAAGGCGGTATGGTATATTAGATTGTCACCACAGAGAATAAACAAGTTCAAGAAGGCGATGAAAGATTGTGGCTTACAAATGAAGAAGTTTGTATGTGGTGACACCCCTACCCGACGGAACTCGACTTTCGAGTTATTGAAGTCCGCATACCAGTTACGAGAGACATTTATGGAATTTGGCGTAAGAGGTAATATTTATTTTTAAGTTATATTTCAGCTTTTCAGCAACATTTTAAATATTTTGTAATCTGTGGGATTTTTTAAACAACTATAACTCATTCGTTATAAGTCGGATTGACACACGGTTTTTTCGAACGTTTAATTTACAGTTTGTAGATGAATTAAGACTATAATTTTGTTAATTTTGGTATTATATTCAATGAGTTATAGTCTTTCAAAATTGAGCTATCAAAGTTGGAAAATTTCAGCTTTTCAGCAACATTTTAAATATTTTGTAATCTGTGGGATTTTTTAAACAACTATAACTCATTCGTTTTAAGTCGGATTGACACACAGTTTTTTCCAACGTTTAATTTACAGTTTGTAGATGAATTAAGACTATAATTTTGTTAATTTTGGTATTATATTCAATGAGTTATAGTCTTTCAAAATTGAGCTATCAAAGCTGGAAAATTTCAGCTTTTCAACAACATTTTAAATATTTTGTAATCTGTGGGATTTTTTAAACAACTATAACTCATTCGTTTTAAGTCAGATTGACACGCGGTTTTTTCCAACGTTTAATTTACAGTTTGTAGATGAATTTAGACTATAATTGTGTTAATTTTGGTATTATATTCAATGAGTTATAGTCTTTCAAAGTTGAACTATCAAAGCTGGAAAATTTCAGCTTTTTAGATATTATTTTAGACTATAATTCTGAATTTTATGTATCATTGACAGATAGATCATATGAAAGGGATCTCAGTAGAGTACCGAAAATTATGACTTTGAAGTTGTAACCGAAATGGTGAAGTTCTTTGAAAAATTCAAGACAAAAAAAGAGCTTGTTTCGGCTACATCAAAACCTTTGGTAAATCTTTTTATCCGGGAAGTCTTAGATGTGGACATACATTTAAGAAACTGGTCAACCAAACCAATGTTTCTCGAAATGGTAAAAGACATGAAGACGAAATATAACAAGTATTGGGGTGCATACAACAAGATGAACGATTTTATGTACTTTGCGGTTTTACTTGATCCTACCACCAAATCACCTTTTTTGTTACATGCTTTTAAAAAAATGATCGGGAACATGGAAGTGATGGAACCGCCATTGACCCAGCGGACATAGACATAAAAGCACGTCAAATGGTTTGAGAGATTGAGAATAGGATGGAGAATTTATTTATGACCTACTTGAAACGATTTGACAATGATGGATCATCTCAACAAGAAGCGAGTCAAAAAGTCATTGATGTTGATGATGATAACGATTTTTTCGGTGATTTTATTTGTACGGGAGGTAGCAACTCGGATCGAACAGATAACGAGTTTCGAACTTATTTGAAAGAGAATATAGTCAATTATAAAAAAAAATTCAATTATCGGGTGGTGGAGACTAAACACGATTAGGTTCCCGACAGTTGCTCGGATGACGAAAGGTGATTACTTTTTTTAGTCTTTCATAGTTTCTTTATAAATTAATGTTGTTACAATTTAATTCTTTTTTGTTAGACATACCGGCGATACACATCTCAAGTGTGGCGTCGGAGTCCGCGTTTAGCACATGTGGTAGAGTTGTAAGTGAGTATCTTACTAGTTGATCGACTTTGATAGCTGAAGCTTTGTTATGCACCCAAGATTGGGTGAGAAAGTCTACAAATCCGATAATTGACAATGTTGATGACATCTTGAACGATGATGATATAACTTTGGTTAAAAAAATTACAATCTTTGTTCTTTTTTTATACAATTATTACTTTTTATTAAATATTAACAACATTTTCATTTGTGTTTATGTAGAGATTGCACAAGCTTTAAACATGTTAGATATGGATGACAATGATATGGGGAAGAGGCCAATGCAAGATTAGATTATGAGTTTATGAAGTTTGTTAGTTTGATTGATTTTAAAGTCTAAACTATGATTTTTGGTGTTATGGTAATACTTTTGTATGTTTGTCTTATGATTGTTAACTTTTGTTGGTAAACTTGATTTATATGTTAGTTGCTTTTATTTGGAAAATTAATTTTGCAAGTTATTCATGAAACAAAACGTAATCATTTTTACAAGTTGTATGGTATCAAACTCAACAACATATTTGTTTTAACGAGGTCTATGAAACCCAAAACCTTATTTTAATGACTTGTACTCTATGCAATTAAAGTTGTACTGGTCCAAACGGGTCCAAGAACCGGAAAACCCGAACGACATGGACACGGACACGGACACGGACACGGACACGGACACGACTCATCCGGTCCGGTCCACGGTCCACAAAATTCTCCATAACCTGTCTGGTTCAAGAACCGGTCCGGTCCGGTCCAAATGCTCACCCCTAGCTGGAATTACAAACACAGTTGGCCCTGCAATGGGGATTGAAGCTCTAAAAATATCAGTTATCCTGCTAAGGTATTTAAATAGTATAAAAGAAAGTGATTTTGTAACAAATGCAATTTTTATTATCATTTATAAAACTTAGCTTCATAATCATTCCATGTTTACAAAATATTAATCAATCTTAATCTTTTGCACGGTGATGTTGACCGGGTTTCTAGTTTATGTTGATGGTGTCGTTTCGTTATAATACTGGATCACTTCTTCAGTAATGTCTGTGAACTAGATTTGGTCTTCAACTTCTAAGGCACTTCAATATATATATATATATATATATATATATATATATATATATATATATATATATATATATATATATATATATATATATATATATAATTTTGATATAATGAATATTTATGTTTTGTTGCCTGTTATTTTCTATCTCTAAGACCTAATTGTGATTTGTTAAAAGGTGTATCGGATTTTAGAGTAGTAGGTAATCATTTTCTAGCCCAGATGATGTATAACACATAACTAACACTCTTTTGTCCAAACAATAGGTCGTATTTCCAAAAAATCATCTTCTGCCAAAGCTGTTCACTTATTCACTGACCCAAAAATATGAAGAAGTCTACCAAGAGAATGGTGTCAACCTCATGAAGGTTCTCCCTCCTACCTCTCACCAACACATGCTTAAATCTTTTGTTGACATGATGTTTCATTTGCAGGGAGCCTCTATAAAAAGCTTGACATTTGGTCCTTATGGAAAATGTAACCGGTGTTAAATTTGAAAATGGATATACCATTGAAGCAAATTTGGTAAATTTACAATTACATTGATCAATATCACTGTTTTTTGTTCTAACAACTTCTTGATTAACCCTTAAGTGCATGAAAGGTAAAATGGGTGTCTTTCATCTCCCCTTTAGAACATTAAAGGTTATGGAGGGGTTGTTCCCATCACAATAGTTGGAGTCACACGTATACACCCTGTTTTCTACAGGAAAATGTATTTTGAAGCTTATAAAATATACTCCTGTGACAAGTAATTGGTATGATGCAATGATACCCATTTGTTGTTTTTCCCATTCAGGTTAAGTGATTGGGGCTTTGTGGTTAGATCAGAGAGGATGGAAAGCAAAATGATGTAGTTGTATGACTACAGGTAATACATGTATGGTTTTTTGTTAAATAAAAAATAAACAAAAAGAAATTTGTATTTGGCTATTTTATAGATGTTCAAGCATTGTGGAGGGTGTTGTGTCTCAGTTTCAAAGAGTGGTTAAAAGTTTCCAAATTGATGATGACCAAAATACTAGTGATGAAGGAGAAAAGATTTCACTGCTACTACACGATTTCAGAACAATTCACTTCATTTGCGTCTTTATAAAGCAAAAATCAAGGTAACACCCACCCCCACCCCCACCATTTCATGTGCAAAAGACAAGAATGCCCTTCTCATTAAACGAACAAACCTAAATGATGTCTTTGTTTTGTAGGCAAGTAGGCAGTTAGAGATGCAAAAGTTAATTAAAAAGGCCTTAGAGGAAGCTAGTCACAAGGCCTCCCCATACCCATAATAGTGATTGATAACGATCTATATCACATTCTTTTGTAACAACTACATTTGTGTACAGTTTATAAAATGATTAAGCCAATTGCAATAGGAATACTTACTGTTTTTGGAAATCTGTTTTGTTGGTTGCTGCTGTCCAAACTTTGTTTTAAGGTGAATATATGATGTTTCTAGCCATTTCAGTATTGTATATTGTAGGTTAATTTAAAGTTACTTAAATGGGTTAAATACAAGAAATAGCAGCAAAAATCAGTGACGATTTTTTTGGTAAGTAGTTGGATTAAATCATTGACGACTTTTTATGGTCACTAATTGGATAAACCAGTGACGACTTTCTATGGTCACTAATTGGACAACACGGTGACGACTTTTTATGGTCACTAATTAGATGAAACAGTGACGACCTTCATGGATTAGTGACAACATTTAGTGACGAAACCGGTCGTCTCAGATTTAGCGACCAATATTTTTAGTCACTATTTAGTGACCGGTTTTATATTTTGGTCACTGATCAGTTTTTGTGACGGACCTATAGTGACGACAAGTGACGACCAAAAGTTTGGTCACTAAATGATTTAGTGACGACTACTTCAACTGGTAGTGACCATTTCGTTTTCGTCACTAATTGGCATTTTTTTTTGTAGTGACTCTATATCGCAGTTCTTCTCATTAATTATATGTGCTTTGTGTATAGTAATACAAGAGTAAAAACATATTGATTTACTTTTACACATTTAATCTGTTGTTTATTTGGATTTAGTACTTTTAATTACTAAAAATGTGCTGTTTTTTGTTGGTCTAGCTCATGTAAGCTGAACCCGCTTAACCTTTGTTACTGCATAGATATCACCGGCAATGGGTTGTGTCAGGCAGTGAAAAGGCTACCACAATTGGAGAAACTTCACCTTTCTTACATCTCCATCGACCAATATGACATTAATTTTAATGGACAAAATTGCCCTCAGCTCAAGTCCTTGATCATTTTGTCCGAAGACTTCAGACAGTCAGTCATAGCAAATGACGATGATGCCCTTGCCATTGCAGACTACATGCCCGACTTGCGCCATTTGAAACTGTCGGAAAATTGGATGACAAATGATGTACTCCAGGCTATCATCAATGGATGCCCTCACCTTGAATCCCTCGACATTGGTGACTGTTATAACCTTAATCTTGACAGGAATTTTTTAAAAGAGTGCATGAAACAGATCAAAGATTTTAAGTATGAGGTACGTTCTTTTGTTGATTATGGTTTTCGTTACTCTGATAACGATTTTGATTACTACGATAGCGATTTTTATAAGAGTGATTAGGATTGACTGGTCTAGAGCTTTGGTTGGAGATATTATATATTTGCTTAAAGAGTTGGTTTAATGTAGATATGTTTTCGGTGCTTGTTGTTGGCTAGTTTCGAGGCCCAAAATTGATAATTTTCGAACAATGTAAAACATTAATTGCACGAAATGCGCATCTTTCTTCTTTTGAAAAAGCATTACTTTTATCTTGTTATGGTATCCTTATGACATTATAGAGGGAAAATTTGATCAAATTGTTTGTGCAACGCAGTATTGATCAAACCATGATTGATTGTAATTGCCATCATATCAAAGATCGATGTTTGTTTGACTTGCTATCATATCGTAGTATGGATCAAACCCCGAGTGAAAATTTATCCCAGTCATTCACTTTAGTTATGATTGAGCTATCCTACTTTTGACTATTAACAATGAAGTATTTTCGACCCGAACAACTTTCTATGCTTCTTGCGCCTCATATTCAACAACCACCATATGCGCTTTGCCGGATTCCTGTATATATTTAGCCTGCTTAATCTTTTTTTTTTAACTAGACGTACCTGACCCGTTTAACTCAAAACCCTATTAACAGCCCGGCCTAACGAGGGGTGTTTCACCCAATCTATTTTGAGGTTCTTAATTCGCAAACAATCACCACTAGGACTTCAAACATAAAATCATGAAATATATAGTCTTGACAGTGATACACATAAATATTTGCCATTGATGGAAGTCCAATATATTACAAATAAAACATATCTCTTCGATAATCATTAGAATTGTTGTTTGATACATGATTTGTGCACAAAGATTTTAATCAAATTTCACTTTGTACGAAATACTATAATATTTGGTTCGCATAATCTCTTTCGATTAAGATTCAATGGAGTTTGTTGAAAGATACAAATATTGTTGTAATGATTTTCACAAAATGTAGACAAAGGCAGTCCACATCAAAAAGACATAAGCAATATTAACATAAAATACATAAAAAAAAGACGTTAACATCAGAAATTTGAAGACAAACCCCTCAGTTTTATGTGAAATCACTCTTAAAATCTTTGATCCGATCCATGCACTGTTTTCCTAAAATCCCACCATGATTAAGGTTAGGACACATACTAACGTCTAGGGATTGAAGGTGAAGGCATCCATTAAGAATGGCCTCGAGTCCAATGTTTGTGATTTCACTTTCACATAGATCCAAACTGCGTAACTCATGCATTTTGTTCGTGATAGCAAAGCATCAGCATCGTCACATTTGATGGAGTGAGGTATGAGCCTTTTGCCTATCACGAAGTACTTGAGTTGAGGGAAATTCTGTCCAATAGCTTCAATGTCTTCTACATTTGTTGGGACTTCGGCTGAAAGAAATGCAATGTCTCACCAACTGTGGCAGGCTTTTGACTGCCCAACTCAACCCAGTGCCCGTGATATCTTTGCAGCTCACAAGGCCAAGACGTTTCACCTTATTTGAACTGTTCACAAGTCACCATTCGATCCACACAAACACAAAAGATTTTCAGTAATTTAAAACTACTAAACCAAATAAAACTACCTGTCAACAAACATAAACAACATTAAACCAAATAAAACTACAGATTAACAATCAAAGTCCATGTAGTAACAGAAGTGTGTATGCAATTCTATTGTGGTCCCTTTTTACATTCTAGAGAGAAAGAGAGAGAGAAAGTAAAACTCTCATTAGTTGAAAATAGTCTGCAACAAACTATATATATACAGTTTACCAAACTGCCACGAACAAAACAACTGAACCACTAACTTAACTGTACATCAGGAAATTACAAAACTACCCTTCTGCATATTTACAAAGCTAAGTATGTTGTCTAATATCCCTATGTTCCAAGTACTTTGGTTCAGATTAAACAATCCAAGAAATGTAGATGATACATTTGTACCAAAATTCGTACTCATAACTATTTTTTGGCATATAAATTAACAAAAAAAAATAGGACTAAATGTATATTTTTCCATAACTGAGGATGTGCAGAATGCATACGAAACTGAATAGCGATGGGAAGGGGCTAAAACCTACTGCAGCACGATGTTATAAAAAAGTAGCGAAATGCTTCTACTTTTTTTACAAGAAATAACAACCTACTGTTAGTTCGTACGATTATTCACTATTTGGATAAAACCGAATTGTCCAATTTGGAAAATTTGGATCCGACTATTTGGTTCAGAAATTCGGATTTTTAGATTGGTTTCAACAAAACCGAATTATTATTTTGTATCGGTTTTTGTTTATAAAACGAGAGACGAATAGTCCAAAGAAAAACGAATATAAATTATTATTTATTTATTTTTAATATATATCTGTAATTATTTATTAATTTATTGATTTATTTTTCAAATAGATTCAAAAGGTTTCACCTAATAAAAAACATTGATATGTATTTTCTCTTAAAACTTTTTTATCTATAAAATACTAATGTATATAATATATATTTTTAGTAGTGGTTTGTAAATTTTAAACCACAACTAAATAATTAATTTGCTTTTGTTTCTTCTTTAAAGTTGACTAATATTCTAGTTATGTGGTTTTAAAATGTTCCGCTTTCTTAAAATTGAATTATAAAAACTGATCCGACCGAACTCTAATTTGCTTGGATTGTATTGGATCGAATTTAAAATTCAGTTTGGGCTATTCGGATATGTGTTTTGAAAACCAAAATCAATTCGGATTCACTTGATTGGATCAGATCGAACCAATCCATCCAAACGAACGCCCCTATTTGTGTATGTTATTTAAATTAAATAAAGTAATGAGAAATGATCCTGGTTCATTAGATATACTCCACCAAGAAGTATTTTTTTTAATGTAACCATTTCATTTGCTCTTAGTCACGAAAGGTAGGTAAACTTGCCCTTTTTTTTGTAATTTTTAACTTGTTATTGGTTAATGTTTCCACAATAATATGGTCAACCATAATTAACTAGTGGCATACCCGTCCGGTGGACATGTTAACAATGCTTAAATAAGAAAATAACATAATTTTTATTGAAAATAAGTACAATGCTATTATTTTCAAAGACCAATTACCATTTTGTCCCCATTCCCATTTATACATTTGTTTAAAATATTACAATTGTCAAATGACCGTTATAACCCCCCCCCATTGTGATTTGTGAATGTATTTTTTTGTTTGTCTAATTATATATTTAACATTCATTTCTAAATCTTAATTTTTTTAATTTTTTGTTTTATTTTCTTATTAAACCATTTTACTTAGAAAGTATAATGGTTTAATAAGAAATTTTTTTTAAATATGAATTAAAAATGAAAATATGATGCTATATTTAGAAGTACAATGCTTAAATAAGAAAATAACATAATTTTTATTGAAAATAAGTATAATGCTATTATTTTCAAAGACCAATTACCATTTTGCCCTCATCCCCATTTATACATTTGTTTAAGATATGACAATTGTCGAATGACCGTTATGCCCCCCCCCCTATTGTGATTTGTGAATGTTCTTTTTTTTTGTTTGTCTAATTGTATATTTAACATTCATTTCTAAATCTTCATTTTTTCAATTTTTAGTTTTATTTTCTTATTTAACCATTTTACTTTGAAAGTACAATGGTTTAATAAAAAAACATAATTTTTTTTTGAAAATATTAATTAAAAATGAAAGTATGATGTTATATTTAGTAATAAAATGCTTAAATAAGAAAATAACATAGTTTTTATTGAAAATAAGTACAATGCTATTATTTTCAAAGACCAATTACCATTTTGCCCCATCTCCATTTATACATTTGTTTAAAATATGACAATTGTCAAATGGGGGGAGGAGGGTAAAATGGTCCAAATTCAAAAATGATGCAGAAGGAGTAAAATGGTCCAAAATCATTAAAACGAATTAGGAATTTTTTATAATTATACGAAAATAATACATGTATTTTGCTTTTACGGATTCTCACTGGTTTCTTCACCTAAAATTTTATAAATTTTATTAAAAATCGAGTCATGATGAAATATAGAATAATATATATATATATATATATATATATATATATATATATATATATATATATATATATATAATTGTACATCTCCAATCAATGTTCAATAATGTTGGAGACAAAGTTGTAAATGGAGTCCCGGTTGCCCCTGAACCAGACAAAGTAACATCCAAACCGGTCTCTGGAGAAATCTTAAAAATTACAAACAATTAAAAAATTAAATTAAAATAGAATCCAATCAATGTAAACAAAAGTAAGTGGGTTGATATGAGTATATACATTTATGAATAGTTTTTTTTACTTAATGTGAAAGGGATGCAATTGTTGTCATAGAGTGATACATCACTCTCGTCTGTATCAAAGCTGCAATAAAGTAAACAAAGGGTAAAATAGTAATTTTCTAACAAAACTTTAATTTAAGAACCAAAAAATGGAAGTACATCTCCTCACCTCTAATCCTTATAAGCCTTTTCGTAACCCATTTTAGTCATGCCATTGTAAACCTATGAGGAGTTGAGCAGTGAGTCAAGGATATAATAGTAATTTTTCCAACATAACTTCAAATTAATCATGATTTATAAAATATAATATAAATTCTCACAATTTACCATGATCTTGGATGAAAACCCATTGTGAATCCTTCAAATACTCGTAAACCTAGTTTCTCACATGGAATTGCAAGTTCAACAATAATTCTACACTCGAATATTATAAATAATTTAACAAAAACAAATGATTAGCATTTAGGAGTGAAAAAATTAGTGCCAATGAAAAACACTAGTTTTGCTAAAAAAAACCTGCAATCTGACTCAAGTGTAACAATGAAATTCTACAAAACAAAGTAAAATATAAACATTAGAAAAATGTTTAAATGGTGATTTGTGAAATGTATTTTTTTTGTTTGTCTAATTATATATTTAACATTCATTTCTAAATCTTCATTTTTTAATTTTTTTGTTTTATTTTCTTATTTAACCATTGTACTTTGAAAGTACAATGGTTTAATAAGAAAAAAAACTTATATA